TGAGGTATCCAATACGTCATGGCAAAAATGTCTCATTGAAGGGGAGTTTCTGGCGCAGTGATTAATGCATGAACCTTGTCTGCCACATAGTTAGCCTGTGTTCACTACCTCTGCTCTTGTCGAAATGGGCAGTTCTAAAATTTTCTTAAGATGACCCTGCATAAACATACTATGCAAGTACATAACTGAAGGTTCAGTCTATCTACAGCACAATGTAATGCTGTATATCAAAAAATCTGTTTCAGAAAATGCAGGGAATTGCAGTCATAGGGATAGAGAAATACAAATATTTTCTGGGGGAGAATACCTCCAGACCCCCCCCCCCTCCCTACTGTTAAATGCGATACCACACCAAACTTTTTGTTACCAACAAACCATCTATCATTTCTCCACAATCGGTATAGTATGGTCCCTTTTTGTAGATGCCCCTCCCCCCCACCCCACTGACAAATTCTTCAAAAATGTCCTGCTTAGAAACACTAGTCACTAGACATGCAGTTATTGTTTACCTACGTCTGCTGATCTGTAGAATTCAGTATAGAACACTATACATTTATCGAGTATATCTGTAGTATTACATGTTAATTGTTTCAGTGTGGGTATTAAATTGGGAAATTCGAAATATATAATAGCTTCGGGTTTCAGGAACTTTACGATACTTCACGTATTTATAGGACACTGTCTTTAAAATATGCGAAAGTCAAATATAAACTATAAATTGCATGAATCTCATGATTTTCCTACAAAAAGCATCGTGGGAAATGTGATTTATCACGTAGTATTTTACAACTAAAAGGGCACTTCAGCCCCCCCCCCCTGCTCCCCCCCTACCAAAAGGCATGGGGGGCAGCCGCTCCCCCTGCGCCCCCTGTTCCGGCGTCCCTGTATAAATTTATGCTATTTTACTCACATGTTGCTCGTACTGCGTAACATTTTCTCTTTGTCCCACAGTCGCCAGAAGTCAACAGCACGTTCCCCTCTTTATGTACGTACACGAACGACTAGCTTCTATTTTCTTCCTATTTCATGCTCGATAATAAATCTCTCCTGCATTTTTCTTTCCCTCTCAGATCTTTTTTCTCTTTAAAACATCCCTGTATATCTCTCTCGCTCTTTCTTGTTTAATTATTTTTAGTCTTTTACGACGAATTCCTCGATCGTGTTCGGCCTGCAAAGCCGACCTAGCTTCGAAAGTATATGCTCGCTCTGTCTCGCTGGTTGCACTGAGATTTCTCCCAGATCGTGACGTATCCCACCATTAGCAAGTGCGCCACTCGCTGTGTGGAATGTCGTGTTAAAATGCGCCATTTCAACTGACTTTACGTAAGCTCATACGACCAGACAAAACAGAGAAAAAGCATATTATTTCTTGAGATTTGCCGTCCTTGCTTCCTGATCGATGATCAAGTGCAAATTCCCGCGCGCGCGCTTTGTTTACATATTGCTGCACAAATATTACCTTCCCCTCCCTCCCTCAGGCAGGTCAAACAATTGTCTGTTCGCTTGCTGTGTATTTTGCTGTACTGGAATGGAAAATTTTGACCAAATATAACTGTTATTTCTATCTGCAGTTGTGCAAGTAACGTCAATTTTACGGATGATGGTATATTAGTATTCTACTGAGCGAATTTTTGGCCAGATGTTGCTCGTCGAAACCAGTTTAGACCCCGTGAAAGTATACGTGTAATTTGAGTTATTTGACAAACAGGATGGCATTCCCGTTGTGCGTATATGTATACTCGTCCAATCGGAAGATATTTCGTTAATTCCCACTCAATTTTGGATTTTTATGATGAGGTTTAACCGTCATTATCGTTCAAGGTTCACAAACAGGGTTTTCGTCCATCCAAAGTACATTTGAGTTACTGAGCTAAACTTCAGCAAGTCTCGTATGGTAATATAAATATGGCTGTGTCGTTATCTGACCAATATGTCCTGTTTATATACTACAAAACGTCGGCCAGGAGAACAGGCTCTTACGAGAACAGTTAATATTAAAGACGACTATAAACGAGACGAAGTTGTCCATCGAAGATACGAAGGTTGATAAAATGGACAATTTGTCAAACAGAACTGCGAGACACGTTGCCAAAGCTATGCAGGGTAAGCATTTGTACTTGTATCTGATAAATTGTGTATACATGTCATTTCAATGGTATAGAACGCTCTGATTTAATGAAAGTTTAGGCTCCTAAAATAATTGCGCCAAATATTCAAAGGCTAATTCAAGATTGCTGAACTCAGTCATAGATGCTGTTTAATAATTTATTACATGCAAATCACTGCTAAAAATACTACAGTATATACCCCATTTACTGTATATATATATTATAGAACCCTTGTCTCTGCCCTTGGCAGGCAAAACGTGCAAGTTATGTTTACGCAATATATTTCTGATCTGCACTGTTGTGTTATGCCTGACTCAGGGAGGACAGGCATACCTAGGGGAATTTGACAGTTTCAATTTTGCTACTGTATGTATGACAATAAGCTCCACTGCAGAGCATCACTTTTTAGTCAATCTTTGTCAAATTTTCCCCTATTAAGAAATTTCAAGTTGCGAGAACTCAAGTCAATTCTCGTGTATGCCATCCTTCCCCAGGCGAACAAAACATTGCTTCGTGCATTATTCCAAAGTGCATATCACAATCACAAAACTCTTCACAGCCTAGGTTAACAAGGCAAGGATTAAGTGTCTATTGTACTATAGTATACCTAGTGCTGTATTTCATATATGGAGGCAGACCAGCCCAGGTATCCAAGCAAGTAACAAGGCACCCAGACTGGCCACAGCCTACTACAGTTGAGGTAGGCCATTACGCTTGGGCAGGTCAGTTCAGTTCTCATGTTATCGCAAGATTAAATTGGACAATTGACAAGAAATAATACCAAAGGTGGTGTCTCTCCAAAACCAGACCAGCTCGGGTACCCTGGCTTCTCTTTCTTGCTTGCGAAATGTGAATTTACTTTTTGTGTTAAATTTCTTGAGGCACTATTAAAGCTGTGTACAGTGTAAAATAGCATAGTAAGTGCACCATTAGGGATTGTGCCTTAATGGTTTAACATATATGTAATTTTTTATAGGATTATGTTCGTCATAAACTGAAAGCATTGAATGCTTATGAGAGTAATCTAGCATACGTTTGATTAAAGGTAACTTTGTGTACTAACATTATGTTTATGTAAACCACAATGACCACATTCATACAAGTTAACTTGTATTTGCAGGCCAGGCCCGTAGCTAGACTGATCATTGGGGGTGTATATTCATATATTTGTGTTCTGCCTGAGGGATTTCTTTTGAAAGCAATTGTTGTTACACTACATGAATATGAATATATGAATATACACCATCCCCTCCCCCACCCCCCCAATTATCGGTTCTAGCTACGGCGCTGTTGCAGGCATACACTTATGAAACATTATGAGCCATCTTATACTATACTAAATATTCTGCTTTAATTAATTTTAGTGTTGACTCTCAACACAACATCATGCTGTGTTCCAAGGTTTCCAAGCAACTGGCTCATGAGTATGGAGGGCCACAACTGTTTTAATAAAAGGTATGGTGTACACAGTATTTATGGTATTTGTAATTGTCTTGCCCAAGGCCAAAAAAATATGTGGGTTTCCGGTTTCTTCTTATAAAAACTTAGGTAGGGTAGGTCGGTTTTAACTTTTTTTTTTTAAACTTTTTTTTTAATTTTCCGAACAAGCGGACGCCATTTTGTTTAGTCAGTGCTTCCACTTCCAAAGATAAATTTCCCTAATATTGCCTCAAATTTCAATTTTCCACAAACTTTTTCCTCTAAGTGGAAACACTTACAAGCATGATCCAATAAAAAAGTTTAGGGTCGGGATTTCAACGTCCAAAAGGTAGGTAGGGTCGGGAAACCGGAAACCCACATATTTTTTTTGGCCCAATAGATATATTTTAAAACCTTATACCGGTAACTCCTGTGGTATCTGGATTCTGGTAATCACTTTACCATACTTTACTCTGTCAATTTTTCAATATTAATTACCAGGCGATATATGTTGGGTCACAAAACTCCCAACATGGCAACGTCTATAGAGTGGTATCACTTTAGTTTTGCTCACACCAGAGAATCGTCCTATATATGACTAAAGCTAGACAATTGTACTGTACTTGTACATAGCACATGTCTCAAAATTTGATTTAAAGACTTTTGAGCATAGTATAGAAAGAGTATAATATGCAGCTAATTCTTATGATGTTGTCACAAGCAATGCTGTATTGCAGTAGTCAAATGTCACATGCCAGCAATATTATCTGCATTTGCTTGCATTTTGTCAAAAATATTTGCGTTTTGGATTGTAGAATTGACTAAATTGCATGTGACAACCTTTGCATGTGCACTGTATTTAAAGAATGGTCCTTAAATGATTTTTTCTGTGTTGGTGTTATGTACTCAGGTGAATATGATGTTTGTGCAATGTTACTCTGAGTGTATAACCACACCGGAGAAGTTTGAAAAATAGACCTGGCCAGGGTGGGAATCAAAGCTACGACCTTGGAATGCCCAATGCTCTGCCAACTGAGCTATCATGATTACTAGATTGCATTGATATCGAAAGAACTAGTCTCAGTTCTGAAATATCACATACTCGAACCGACTTGACTGCGTAGCTCAGTTGGCAGAGCATTGGGCTAGTATTCCAAGGGTCATAGGATCGATTCCAACCGTGGCCAGGCATATTTTTCAAGCTTACCCGGTGTGGATATACACTCAGAGTAACATCACAAGCATCATATTCACCTGAATACATTACACTAACACAGAAAAAATCATGATTATTAGATTGCACTGTTATCGAAGTAACTAGGCTCATTTCCGAAAATCACATAGTATTACTCGAACCGACCTGACTGCGTAGCTCAGTTGGCAGAGCATTGGGCTAGTATTCCAAGAGTCATAGGTTCGATTCCCACCGTGGCCAGGCATATTTTTCAAGCTTGCCTGGTGTGGATATACACTCAGAGTAACATCACAAACATCATGGTCTTTAAAATGTTTACGCGGTTTTTACATATGATTTGGTACAAGTTCTCGTGAACATCCAGAACAAATTATTTTGCGTGTTTAAATTTGCCACCAACATTAACACACAGCAAGGGATTAAAGACTTTGAAGATCTGTTAACAGCTTTAGCTTTAATTTACACAGTATAACCAATTTTTTAAGATTGAATTTTATTATTTTATAAAGGACGAGGTTTGAACTTATAACACTGCATTTAATTTTGATAGGCATTAATTTAGCTTTGTATTTCAAGGGGGTTGCTCAATCTAAAACATCCGTCTTTGGGTGTTTGTGACATTTGTGACACTCTATTTGAAAGTTACCTTTTGCTTTGTCTCCCCGAGCAATGTATAAATTTAAATACATGCAGTAAATGACATTTTTATGCTCATTGCTTGTAATGCCTCGATAACCTCGTGGATGAATCTGTAAGGCTTCCAAAGTCGGATTTCTTGCTAAGCAAAGTTGTGGCATGCATAAGCAGTCTACCTAACACCCCCCCCCCAAAAAAAAAAAATTACCTACTGTATGTCGCCTGCGACGAAAAGGGAAATCGTGTGTAAAATGATTATGAAGAAGAATTTAAAGAACTTTCAGAGTCTGAACAACGCGCATACGGTGGAAGGAAAAGTCATCCAGGCAATGTCATCCAATCATCAAATCAACATTTGATACAAAATTGTACTGTGTGAACTCAATAGTCAACATTTGTACTATAAGTTTTCTAAGAACTTGTAGTAGTGTCAAGCTTATTTGTTATTATTTTGTATCTTTCTTTAGAGACTTGCACGCAGGCTGAAGCACGTGGAAAAGGCAAATTGGGGTGCCCAGAAAACTGCAAGAGTGTTCGATGTTATGAGGGCAGGCTACTGTACATATCCTCAGAAGAAAGCGAGGTCGACGAAACAACAAAAAGGATCATGCGTTACAACGTTCGTAGGCTACCCTGGGAGAGTCCATCTCTATACGAAGCGCAAAGAAAAAGTTAGACAGGCTCCACACCTTGTCTTTGTCAGAACTGGTACGGAGCAGAATTGTTCCTCGCGAGGAATTACGGCCCTCCATTCGACCTAAGCCAAACGACTTCCCGGAGTGGAGCTAAGAACGAGGAAGACAATGTTGTTGATGAGAGTGCCCAGTCATTATTCCTACATTTTAAATGATCATGACTCTGATTGCTTTAGTTTTTCAGTATAGTAAGGACCCACGATATATCACCCAAAGTTTCCCATGTTCCAATGTATTAATAGTGCTTTATATATTTGTTGTGAACCTGCATGGCTTCTTAAACATGTTCATACAAAATTCTAAATAGAAATGTTAGACTGAAAGGTTTTTATTCGTGGGTTTTCATTCTGCACGTGATAATTTGATAATCAAATTTATGAGTTTGCGTAATTTACACTGTTTATACGATATGCGTTTATTCTGCATGGCAGATTTTTATGTTATTTATATGGTAAATATAAAATTGAAGAAAAAATTATGTGTGCTGAAATCTTTTTTTTTTGTCTTTGGAGACATTACTTCCTGCTTTGCTATTAAACTCGCCACTGGAGCAGCTTGTTTGCTATTACGTTCAAATCTGGGAAACGCCAGAGAGAGATATGAATGCCATTAATTACTTTTGTTTTATTGACCATCTTACCTGCATCGTACAACTTATTAACGAAAATATCTAAAACACGGCTTAACTGTAACTATTATTATTTGACATTTGCATTTGCGATTTTGAATAGTTTGTTTAACCATTATAATTAATGTTTAACCATTAATGGTTAAACAATACTATAGGTATTTAAATGGCAAATGGAAACGTCAAATAGACAATACACGTTTCTTTTCTGTTCTTTTCGTACGACATTAAATGTGTTTTAAGGTTAAATAAACATACAAAACACCTTTGCGTAAAGTTGAGTAAAGACATGTACCTTTTCACAGTTTCAACACCACATTAAATGTGATGAAAGGTTAAATAAAGATACAAAACCCCTTTTCATAAAGTCGAGTAAAGGCATGTACAGGTACCTTTTCACAATTTCAACACATATTAAATGTGATTAAAGGTAAAATAAAGATTCAAAACACCTTTGCTTAAAGTTGAGTAAAGACATGCACCTTTTACAATTTCAACACCACATTAAATGTGATTAAAGATGTAAAATACCAGAGCAGAAAAGCTTTGTATATGTAGCTTCAAAGTACCTTTACAACTCGTTTCTCTTCAAAGTTAAAGACAAGTTAGAAACCTTTAATTCCCTTTAAACAAACTTTTCTCATTCTTTAATAGGTCGTCTTTAATCATCTATAATTATACTATAATTTGGTCATTTATAGCCTCCAGAAAATATTTAATCTGCATGCTGAAAGGAGAGTTTAGGTACATTTACTAAATCTAATCAAACTGATTAAATGTGAATAAAGCCGCCAATAACATTTCTTTACGCCACCTTTAACCATGATGATAGCTACTGATTTCGTCATGTGTTAATTACTGGCAGGGAAGTGCTGTCCGATGGACAACACTTCACCACGTGAAGCGCAATCACTGCTCATTCAGGTCGCACTGAAGACCTGAATGAGCAGTCCTAGAGACTCGATGTGGTCAGTCAGGTTATCAGTTGCGGCCCGGGGTAATGTGCCCTATACCAATAGTTGTTCACCAGTCCAACTAGGTCTCAATATCGACGGCCTGACGGATCTGAACGGGGGTTCGCCTGTTCCCCTGTTATCTAGAGGTCCGCCTGTTCTTCTAGAACAACCTACAGTTTTTGCGTGTATCCTCAGCCAGCTTTGAGTACCCTGGGTAATGTGCCCTATACCAATAGTTGTTCACCAGTCCAACTAGGTCTCAACTCGCTGAACGACATGCACAGAGTCAAGCATGCCCTCTGCAGTCTAGAGATTCGCCTGTTTCTCTAGATTAAACTTAGGTTAGCGAGAGCCTCTAGACAGTTCGGCCGGAACTGTTTTCGAGCACTTCTCTGCCCAAAATATTTGCCACAAAATGTGTTTCAAGTTATTGTTGTCCTGTTTAGTGGCCAGTTGTTCGATTTTGACTATCTATCTCTTTCCAACATATTCAACTTCATTAACTGCTGCTTTAATTCTATCAGTAAAGCAGTGTAAACATGTCTTTAAATTGCATATACGATTTCTTTACACCAACGATTAAAGAGACCTTTTACAACAAGAAATCGGGATTTCATTCACGTGATACCTTTACAACATTTAAAATGAAGATTAAATATTGTAAAGGTAAATTCGCATAAACTGTTGCTTTAATAGTGTCAGTAAAGCAGTGTAAACATATCTTTAGATTAGATATACCATTTCTTTAAATAAGCCAGTAAAGATATCTTTACAATTCTTTAAGCAACATATAACGCGAAATAGTAAAGCCTCCACTGCACCGCTTTAATTACTAGGCTTAAAGCGATGTATACGTACCTTTACAAAATATAATCCTGCAGATTAAATGTCATTATAGGCACCATTAATATGCCTTTAAGATCTCTTTAATCTGATTTATATTTATCATTTCGTCCTGTGCGTACTTCTTCCGTTGTTAAGGTAATAGAGAGTTTGAGCAAGACAACGAAGTACGAAGACGAAGGCATACTTGACAATTTTTGCCGTATGTCCATTATCTTGCGCATACTGAGTTGGGCGTCACTGGTGCTTGCACAACGTATCTTCCCATGTGTCGCTGTTTATGAATACTGACCATAAATCTTGCCCTGATCCAGAAAAAAACAGCGAGACATGAAACTATATCCCGTCTTTGTCCTTCTGCCTTCGTGCAGAACGAGTTTCACAACGAAATTTGCCAAAGTATTCGTTGTGAACGAAGGCAGAAGACGAGGACGGGATATGGATTCATTTCTCGCTGTTTTATCCTGATCAGGGTAAGGATTTGGGTCACCATTCACAAACAGCTAGGCATAAATCTCTAATCTGTCTTCACTCCTGACCCTAAACAGGGCCCACAGTAATTTGTGTAAACTGTTGTGGTGTCCCCTCCTCTTTTTATGTCTCGTGTATATGAATTGTTGTGCTTGTATTGTGTACGTTTTTTTGTCAAGGCGAAGCTAAAAAAAAAACAAAAAAACTCAGAATGTGCAAGGTAATGTGCAAGACAGGCAAAAATTTTCAACCACGTCGTCGTCGTCCAACTTCGTTGTCTTGCTCAAACTCTCTAATATCAGATATTTGGGTATCGGGATCAAAAGAGTCTAAGTTATTGTCAGTGTCAGTGGTGGATTTTGATGGTACAAACACAGATGAGAAGTATGAATTAAAAAGTTCAGCTTTCTCTGCTGGACTTTTGGCTGTAATATCTTTGTAAGTAACAACCGCGTTGTGTTGTTCCTTATGGTGTAGAATGGCTTTATGGTAGCTCCAGAAAAACTTCGGGCTTTTGTTGAACGAAATTTCGACTCTTTCTAGTATTCGCGATGTTTTTTTCTGATCAAACGCTTGATGTTTTGATTTATACAACGCAACTTTTGCTTACGGATGAAGGATCTATTCTGGCGGAATTTCTTGAGTGCAGCATATATTTCTTACGGACAAGCTGACGAACTTCGCCTTTAATCCATTGGGAGGAATTTATGTCTTTAATCGTTTTAACAGGGACGAATTTATTTACAGCCTTCAAGAATAAGTCTTTCCAATCCGACCAGTATTGGACAAAATCGTCCGAGAAAGCGTTCTCAAACTGTACATTGGACAAACAACTACTTGTTTAATATAAACATGGCGCTGTTTTAAATTTTCACCTGACAATTGTTACTGATTTATGTCAATTATTTTTTTAATACCACATTTCCCACTTAACAATTCTTGGGAATTGGCAGTTCTGTAGTGTAGTGTACAGAAAGGATATAAAAATAAAATTTTAACATATGTTATTTATATTTTAGTTTCCAACAATATCGAACAAATCATATACCTGGTGAATGAACTTTCCCGACTTGTTCCGCATTTTTCAATTTTTTTGCACGTATCATATCGCGAATATATTAAAAAAATTATCAAAATCATGCAGTGCCAACAAAATCCCCAAATTAAATGTTATTGTTTATAGCTTCAGACATGGCACAGAAATTCTGCGAAAGTTGTGAAATCTTTTCCATTAAGTCCAGCGTAACTTCGGGATTATCAACGTCTTGGACGAGGTTAACTTTAGGCATGAAGTACATTGGAAGATTTTGAATTCGCAAGGCTTCTGCTAACTCCTCAAGTAATGCGACAAGATGATGAACTAAAGTGTCTTCAGTCCAAGATTCTTGGGAGGTTCTCTCAAAATGCCAAAACGCGATGGTTTTCAAATGATAACTTGAAATAATGTTCTTCAAATTTGGACTCCAGGTATTTTCATGATATTTCACTACAGCTTTAAAAGCTCTCATTACTCTGCGCTGCAGTGGTATGAGAGTCTCAACCAACATGGTTTCAACACAAGAAAAAGACAAACGGAAGTCACCATCAGGCGAGCTCTTTGGCACAATGTGATATCCATTATTGGAGATTTTTTCCACCGAATTCATATCTGGCCATAGTCGTTTGCGCGTGATCCATTCTCGTGCACAGGATGGCCACCCTTCGCAGAATATGGCTAGCACAACATCACTGGCCTGGGCAGCTCTGGTATAAAATAAATCAGGCAAACCGCCGTTACTCACCCAATATTCTATTTCTCCACCAAGTTCTTCATTTATTGGATTGTTTAAAAACTTTGTTAGGAAATCTACCAAACGATTCCAGTCAGACGTCCCAAATTCTGGTTTACTGATGGTCATTGCCGCACCTTCCGTCACCTCTTCGTCCCTTCCAAAAATAGCAGAACATATATTGTTATTAGCTGTTTTCTGAGAGTTTTCTTGTAGCTTTTCTTTTAATTTTCTTGAAGATAATCGATGCTTTCGCGTCCCTTTATCCGCATTGTCAAGAAACGCACACCACAAATTTTGTGTTTCGTCGCTTGTCATAAATGCGTAAACAAAAGGTGTATCTTCTCTTAACCATAAGCAGCCATTTTGCTGATCTTCCAGTGAGAACGTAATATTCTTTAACACGCACATGAAATCCCTGTCCGATGGCTCTCTAGAATAAAGGAAAAGACCTTCGCTGCAGCTTCCCGACAATATTACCTCATCGATTTCAAATGGTGGACGACTATCGAAATAATTCTCAAAATGTGGTTTGCAAAGAAAATCGGGAGTAGTTTCTTTATTATTTTGTCTTAGCCAATCCTGCATCACACAATACACCTTATCGCCAAAGTAATTCTCAAAATTCCGAGTCCATAAATCAACCGGTGTCCGCACCCCTGTGACTGGCAACCACATTTTCAGCAGGTTGTATTTTAAAGTCGAGTAATCAACACTTGAAGCTTGAGTCATATTCAAAACTACAATGGAAATTGGTAAAATGCAGTGATTAAATTACCATGCTTCTTTATTTCATACTAGAAAATACTTGCATGCAGAAACCCTCGCCTTGCTCACAAAACCATTGTATTTTCCGAACATGAAGTATCTAAAGTAGTTACCATGGAAACACGATAATTTTTTAAGAATATTCTTACAAATGAAAAATCGCTTAAAAATATCACTTTTAATTACAAAATTATCAATTTCCCAACATATATATGTTAGGTATGATATTATACATGACAAAAGCAAGGTAGAATGATTTGGTTACCAGAAAATATCATGCATGGACCAGGTGATGAGTTGTCAGAGTGCCATGAGTACTGACGTCCAGAAATTGAAAAGGCCGGCCCATTTAGATATTGCCCTAAATAATATCTGTATTACCCAATGACTAGGAAGACACCTAGTCTGCGCACAGACTGTCCCCCCCCGTGGTGGAAGGAGACCAGTCTGCGACCATTTGTCACTAATGCTGTACAGTGACGTGGTCGTACTAATAGATATAATATTGTGCACTTCAAGTCTTCAGCACTTTAGTGGCTTTCTAATTTTATTATCCAATCAGGTGCGTTACTTTAAATAGAACTTGTTTTATGTTAACAAGATCAATAGACAATAGACAAGGTCAAGCAAAACAATACAACGAAATCGAAACATAAACTTGCAAAAAAATGTGCCAGATTTGTAAATTCTACCAAATTTATTCATTCCAAAAAATAAAACGCTCTTTTGTGTGGCAATGTCTGCCCAACAGGACCCAGAAACGTTATGTAATCGGTAAAACCGGTATACTTGTCTCGAAATTAGCTAAGCAAATTTATGCAAGTATAATTTTGAAACGAACCAATGAAAAACTGCCGATCATATTCCGCCGGTAGCTGTACGGCATTAGCGTCGAATGACCGCAGACTCTCGTCCGTGGGGGAGCGGAATGCAGTCTGCAAGCAGACGAGAAGACACCAGGGTATTGCGGGCATTAAGCCTTGAATGTGACTTCATTGTAGATAATGTCTGTTCTGCTCTTCTATAATTCTCAATTTCTTCTGTAGTTGTTAGTTGTGAGTGTGCAATAGTTGAGTAAATTCAACACAGCTAGAACCTAAGCACCATTGCCTCCCTGGGTTATATGTTTCATATCATCTGACCTTGCTTTTACCTCATTGTCAGAAGTTTAAGGATGGAAAATAATAAATAAATATGTGGGTATTTGTAGGCAATATTCTTCAGGGTATTTTTTATCACATATGTACTTATTAGAAATATCACCACTGCTCCCTTTTCAATGTTGGTGTTCTGGTTAATACTTTTAATCATGCCGGGTCTACTGAGACCAAACCGAATAGCCACGAAATTGAAAAGGGAGGTACGGGTAGTGTATAAAGTGAATAAGGATAAAAGGTATTAATTCGACTTTTCATTCCCAACGTTTGGTAAAGTGAGCTACATAACATGCCATGCAACATGCGGCATTGTCCAATATAAACAGTAAGAATTTATACAATGTATGAACATTTCCTTATACAGAACTATATTTTTGGTCAGTCTTCATGTCAGTTCGAAGAATTTTAAAGATTTGTTCTACATTTATCATTTTGGGATCTTCCTTGCCGTTTATCATAGACGCGCTCAGCTATCTTGAGTACTGTCAAATTGCAGCAAAGTTAGTTCGCCCGAACTATATGATTTGTCTGAGGCTCTACGTCGTTTGCTGTTGTTACTACGAATGCCTGAAATCGCTACACCTACGCTATATATTTCTAAATTGATTTAGATTATTTAAGAATTCAATTATTTTATCTCTTACGATATTTCAACCACAGCAAATGGACAGCGAAATTGATATCGCTTCCCTGAACTTTATTAAGCCTCTATTTGTTGTCCCGATTTATCATGCTTCTTGCCTAAAATATATACAGGAATCGGTATGAGCTTTTGTGCTGCCTATTCCAGTATTTTGAGAGTTTCATCAGCCTTGTATTTACATCTATGTGCCGAAATTTTTGTCTCTCTTGCAATGCGCTCACTCGCAATTGGCCGACATTTTCATCATAATCTTGAAAAAGTCAGGCTGACGTTTTCAAGTTTGTTATGCGCGGAAGAGACGCGCAGACGGTGACACTGCTCCTTTAAGGTAGGCTAAATAGTTGCTTTAATTGAAAGATGCTCACATTTTTATTATGTGTTTTTAAAACTGGGTGTATTTTTTGAAATGTCCACAGATATTTTTTCCAAGATTGTCTGAAAATACAGTGGATAAACTTTTACGAAGTTAATTTAATTGTACATTAAAGATAATGTCCACTCCTGTGCACATGCGCGAACATTGTTTATATTTTGAACTGCTATATTTGTAAAACATATGATATAACTGAATATCTAACACTTCTCTGGTTCGCTATATTTGTAAATGAATTTAAACTGTTCGTTTCAATTTAAAAAAGTTCGAAAGATGCAAAATTTGAGCAATGTTTATATCTGGGGGTCCTCCTTTCTTATGAGCAGAACTGATGCGCAGAACGGAGTGGACATCATCTTTAATTTCCAATACATAATTTTCAAATTAAAAAGGATTCTATATTAAGAACATATGATTCAGGGTTTGATTAAACATTTTGAAAGGCAAGGGGTTCCGTGGCCGGGTGGGGTCAGGGGCGGATTGGCAGGTCGGGACCACCGGGCAAACGCCCGGTGGGTCCCTTGCTTCAAAGGCCGTTTTGGGGCCCTTAAATTTAGCCTAAATGTTATTTATTTGAAATAAATAGCGACAAGCTCCAAATAATAAGTATGAAAAGCAGGAACCACGCTTCAACCACTTCTCTCGCTCGACTAAGGGCCGCTCCGATCTGTTCAATCGGGTATATTTCTTATATATATATATATATATATATATATATATATATATATATATATATATATATATATATATATATATATATATATATTTGCGCTGATTTAAATCTGTGACATGCAGAGAACATGCGTATTAGGTTGAATGGCGTTCTTGTTGCATATATAATTTATGTGTCCCACATCCATCATCTCATTGTTGGTTATATATATATATATATATATATATATATATATATATATATATATATATATATATATATATATATATATATATATATATATATATATATATATATATATATATATATAACAATTATACCATGAGCTCGAGTCGTATATGAGCTGATAGCCGACGAGGTGCGTAGCACCGAATCGGCTATCAGCCATATACGACGAGAGCGAATGGTATAATTGTTTTATAATATAGTCTAATAGCCATTAGTTGAAGCAATAATTAATTATCATCTGTTACAATGTCTTGACAATTTGTTCTGCCAAAAACCGCTTGGCCTTGAAAATTTGAAATACTTTTGTTTTACAACTCGAAGACGAAGTGAAAGAAATGGTTTTAGAACCGATATATCTCGCAGAAAAGCTCAGATACATTATATAGATGTTTGGTAGAATAGGAAGTGCTTGTTGACTGCAAATTCATTTGTCTTTCGTTGCAAACTTTTCTGAACAATTTATATTCTCAATGAACATGTTTTTTTCGCTGTTGTTTCGGTATTAATTCTTTAAAAAACTTGTATTTAAACTAATTTCTATGTAGTAAATGTATTTTGCTAACCTGTCAAATTGTTTTGAGAGTTTTTCCTTGTACTACCGTATTATCTTTCTCAAAGCGAATATTTTCCTTTATTCTGCTTCGCAAAACTCACGTAATTTTTGGACCGCCATCTTGTTTTTCGCTACTCGTCGTATATGAGCTGATATACGGCGAGTAATTCAACCAATCAGATTGCAGAACAGCTCATATACGGTGAGTGACTATATTATAAATATATATATATATATAAATATATATATATATATATATATATATATATATATATATATATATATATATATATATATATATATATATATATATATATATATATATATTGCGCTGGGTATGGAAATTATATAATACACACTCTAGAACATTTTCATCTTAACATATTACAGAGTGTACAATTACACAACTAACATAACACTTGCAGAACTAGTATTGTTCGATGCTGAATTAATATAAACGAGTATGTTTATGACATTCAGTATATATTTCATAATTTCCAGTCTTAAATCCGTCTGACCGTGTAGCTCAGTAGGTAGAGCGTCGATCTAGTAATTCGAAGGTCGCGGGTTCGAGACCCAGCCGCGGCAGACAACATTTTTCTACTTGCGCTGGGTATGGAAATTATATAATACACACTCTAGAACATTTTCATCTTAACATATTACAGAGTGTACAATTACACAACTAACATCACAGGACGAAAAGCGTGTCATTAATCAGCTTTAGCAAAAATACTAAAGATATTAAATGTGTGTTTACACCTTTAATAAGCTGAGTAAAGGTGATTAAATGAAATTAATTGCATTTAGTAAGGATATTAAAGCGGCTTAAAACCAATATTGAAGCGCGCCATACCTTAATGACCTTTAACGTACGGTTTAATGTTGATTAAAGGCAGAAGTAACATTTAATCACCTATAGTTTTATCTTAAGTTAAGACAAAACCCTAAACCTACTGTCGACATTTTAATAGGATTAAAGCAACGTTTAATAGCGCAGCATACACTGTAAATTAAAAAGGGCCAAATCGACCCCAAATTCCGTTTCAGCGCTTTTGGGGCAAAAGCTGTTTTGGCCCTATGTGAAAGCCATTTTGGCATTGGAGAGCTCGATCTGCACCGACGGAGCCATTTTAGGTATGGAGGAAAGCCAAATTGGCCCTACCCTTTGCCGTAACGGACCCATCATTTTCCAATTTAGCCCCATCAATTGCCAATATGGCCCCACAGACCAAAACCACTCTCACGTCCGAGTTTGTTTTGGCCCCACATAAAGGGGACGCTTTTTATCAACACTTTGGCCCCTATGAGATTCGTTTCGGCTCTCCATCGCGGAACGACTCTCGCATAGGTCAAATCGACCCTGGAATGAAATCGACCCTTTTTTCGAAACGACCCTTCTGTCAAATAGACTCTTAATTGTGTCAAATCGACCCTTCTGTCAAATCGACTCTTAAATGTGTCAAATCGACCCTTCTGTCAAATCGACTCTTAATTGTGTCAAATTGACCCTTTTGTCAAATCGACTCTTAAATGTGTCAAATCAACCCTTCTGTCAAATCGACTCGTAAATGTGTCAATTCGACTCTTCTGTCAAATCGACCCTTAATTGTGTCAAATCGACTATTAATATTGTGTCAAATCGACCCTTCCGTCAAATCGACAGTCTTAATTCTGTGAAATCGACCAGGGATGCCGGAACCACGGGTGCAGCGGGTGCAGTTGCACCCGTTGCCTTTGTATTCACAACTTTACGGGTGCACTACGGGTGCAGAATACGGGTGCAACGGGGGCACAAAGTGCCCTTTTTGCGTGAAAAATTTTCATTAAAAATTGCATTTTTTGCGCAAAGGGCATTTTTGAAAAATTCAATCTACGGAAAAATGTTTTAATTTCCGGAAAAAATAACATTTTCGGGAAAAATTTTCGGTGTGTCCGGAAAATTTTTTTCGTATTTAGGAAAAATTGTGGTATGTCCGGAAAATTTTTTTACCCCTAAAATGGTACACTGACCAAAAAGAAGAGGACGTTTTTTGGATTATACAAGGTAAGATTTGATGTTTCATTTTGTAGGGTATTGAAATTTGTTCTCCAGATTTTTAGTAATTTTATCGTAAATATAAATACGGTATTTGTAAAAATTAATCACGAGAATTGAAGGCCTAGGTGTAATATTAATGATCGCGGGAACTGGGAACGAGAATGCACGCGCCCGTAAGCAATCGGGTTTGCGATCATTCTCGAGCATGCGTACTAACTTTTGGCGCCATTATCGAACGTTGGCCGTTGGGATTTGCTTCGACGAGGGATACGGATAAAATACAAGCGTAAAACCTCGTTTGTTGCAGTATATTCTGGACAAATAAACAATTTATTAGGAAAATACGTTCAAGAAACGTCTCGTGCTGTACTAGCCTAATTCTGGCAAATGTTATTTACTTTCTTCACCTTCGTGTCGAAGACTGTTGTTTGCTGATGGCCAAATCACGACAGCGGACATCAATTATTCAAAATATGTTCTTATAGCTTCACGTTTACGATACGAAACACGTTTTAATGTAAGATTATTTATTTTTTGTATATGTAGGTTGTAGTTGAAAGTGACAGCGACAATGAAAAAAGTGCAAACAACATTGAAATATCCAGTTCACTACTAGCTCAAATCCTGCGACATATCACTTGCTAGTAGCCCAGTCTAGTTTAACTTTTCCCAATCAAGAATCATCTCCTGAATCAGGCATACTGGCAACACTGGTTCATTTGATAATGTAAGTTTTTAAACTGGTATTTTAGATTATAGCCTCGGTCAAATGAGGATGAAAGTCATGCATGAATTGCTTATAAATACACAAAGGACATTTCAAGTTCCACATGAACAAAATATTATTAAAGCTTTGATGAGTGTTCCAACTATGTTTCAACTTAATTAAAATACTCTCATCCTCGTTTGATCCATAATTATTTGTTGATTTTACTCGATACTAAATAGTGAAACATCGAATCCAGATAAAATCTTATGCAGAACCCACTGTAATTCCGAGCTGTAATCACATAATTATATAAAAGTCGTTTCAGTAGCAGCAAAAGCCAAACTAAACACCAACTAGGATTAATAGGTTTAGCTTTTAGGCCGAGAATAATACACGATTGACAATTTTGTGGCTGATTGATTTAATAGTATACTGTATATTGATGTTGTTGTATACAGGACATCTGACTTACATGTCAAATTAATAGTCGAATCTATGATTATATTGAGCATGGCAGATTTGACATTTGAAACATTGTTGATGTTAATAACCCAATGAGTCGCATTGCGCCCTGATGCGCACTAAGTATTTATTATTTTACTCTGGTTATCTAACGCTAGGCAATTTTACTCATCAAGGGGAGAGCACTGGCGGTTAATGTGTTAACTAGCCTATCTGCCCATGTTTACAGTTAACCCATTGAGTCGCATTGTGCCCTAATGCGGCCTAATTTATTATTTTACTCTGCCTATCGCAGGACAATTTTACTCATTAAGAGCAGAGCGCTGGCGCTTAATGTGTTAACTGGCCTATCTGCCCATGTGTCTAGTTAACCCATCGAGTCGCATTGCGCCCTAATTTATTATTTTACTCTTTCTAACGCCAGACAATTTCACTCATTAAGGGGAGAGCATCGGTACTTAATGGGTTAACTGGCCTATTTGCCCATGTTTATAGTTAACACATTGAGTCGCATTGCGGCCTACTTTATTTATTTTTATTTTACTCTGTCTCGAGAGGAGAACGCTGGTGCTTAATGGGGTTAATATTGAAAATATAGATCAACATTTGTCAAAACTCATGACTTGTGCAATCATTTCTGTAATAATTAAGATATTAAAATACCAAATATAATGCCTTATGGCTTATTTCAAATAGGGAGATGCCATGTGACTATGTCCATTGAAACTTAGTGGATTTGTTGTAGCTACATCAAATAAATGCTAGCCAAAAACATATTCAAGTCAATCGAAGAGAATGTGGAATTGCACTTTACATAAAATTCCCTAGTTATTGTACATTAGTATAATTACATAGGTGATTATTGAAAATTCTCCACGCTGATTGGTTGCCGTTGAGGTGATTATTACGCGATAATCACCTAAGCGATTTTCAAAATGGCGGTCGAAGCCGTTTTGTCAATTAAATGACGAAGAAATGTGCATTTTAAAATTTGTTTCCAAATATTCACCTATGAAATTATACTAAAACAATTATTCACCTCAGGCTCGGTGATTATCGTGAATAAAAACCTCGACTTCGTCTCGGTTTTTATTCACCGATAATCACCTCGACTTCGGCGAATAATTGTTAATAAATGAAAAAGCATTTGAAATGGAAATATATTGTTTTAATTTTATTACTATGGTTTGTACTATGATATACATGGGCTACACACTCTTTGGGAACCCGCAGGACTGTTGGTAGAGCATTTCCATGATCTGGAACTTCAGTCCTAAACACGATGTGTGGGTGCGAAAATGTTGTGTAGGAACAGAACTGTACAGATTAGAAATATGATTACTGATATTTTCCAAAGAAAAACTATTAATATATAGAAGAGAAAAGAAAGAGGCAATAAATAGCCCAAAGTATCTGTTGTTCATTTGAAATTTAAAAATGGTAGGCTTATTAAGGATGAGATACAGAGAAAAACAGTAATGCAGAACTACATTCTCTTAAATTGTCAAAATTAAACGCTACCAGTCTTGGTCTCGTTTCAAACTTGAATAACGAAAAGTCTAAAAATATAAAACTATAAGAACAGATCAGCTAAATGATGAAGGAAAGCTGTCATTTTAGGAAAGTATTGTTTTGGGGTGTGTGAACTCATGAGGTTACATGTTTCTGGTGAATCTGCTTGCTGCAGCAAAAATTTATTAATCGTTTGTGACATAATTCACAAGATGTCTCTTTAAACCTGTGGGTTGCCAAACTTCTTAAATATGGAGTTTGTTTTGTCTGACCAAGATATAATGAATACCACTAGTGACATGAGTATGTCCAATTAATATTTAACTGGAAATAAATGCATGCAGCAACCCCAAGCCTATATTTTCCAAACATTGATTTAACATGAACTATTAGCAAATGGCCAGCACTGAACACAGGCTCACGTTGTGTCAAGTGTTGTCAACGCAACATAATGTCACATTATATTTTAAATTTTTTTGAGTAAATTTGCAAGTGTTCATACCACAGAATCTACCATACATAATTTTAAACAAATAGATAGGTGAAGTAATTCAAACAAAATGATTTTGAACTTTATTCCTCTACTCTGTCGAATGCCTATTCTACTCGTAAAGGGGAGAGCCCTGGTGCTTAATGGGTTAAATAAGATTGTATAGTTATATGTATATCATGTATTATGTTTTTATGCAGTCTCCCTGAATCACTTGTACCAGGCTATGGAAATTCATGTTTCCAATTTTGTATTTATTTTTCTTATGATACAGTATACTGTAAATTTGAATAATATTTGTGTGCTTATAGTGAGCTTATTTTTAGGAGAGTTTGTTGCGAGGCAGCATATATTTTGATATTTCAAAATATTACTGTATATTGGTATGTTATATAATGCTTTTGGAAGGGTTATAGGGGTCGGGTGTGATATACTTTTTCAGGTATTTTGTGTCTGATGTATGTAAGAGCTTTATTATTGGGTTTCTTGGTGAGACCTTAAGCCTGCAGCACACGAGAGCTATCTGCTGAGCCAAAAGTTACTCGTGTCTGTTAGCTCAGCCGATAGCTCACCGATCAAACATGTTTGATACGTGAGAAAAGGTTGCATGAGGCAAAAAAACTCAGTAAAATGTATCCGCACACGGTGAGCTATCGGCTGAGCTAACAGGCACGAGTAACTTTTTGCTCAGCAGATAGCTCTCCTGTGCTGCAGGCTTTATATCTTATGTGTCCTATAACCCTCTGTAATTGCGGATTATTGCATACATTCTAATTGTATTTTTTTGTAGGAGTCCAAAGATGCAAATGATACAATTTCAAACTTATCACAACCCATATTGTGGCCGCTGGCAGCGAACTAGAATACGACTAGAAACTGTCAATCATACGTTATCGATTGAAAGGGTGAAAGTTCCATAACAAGCAACAGTTGTTTTGATGCAATTATCGCCTTATTGGCAAGTTTTTACATCTTCAATATTGAGTACTGCCACACGAAGAGCATCTTGTCTGCCTTGCAGACTATAGTAGTGCATGGCCAACACAGAAAGTGGCATACAACTGCCAATAGTGAGTTTAAGCAAGTGACGTTTTAGTGACAACACGGACGTCGACCGGAGGTAAAG